GGAAAGGAAGAAGTCACACTTGCACTATTTGCAGATGATATGACAGGTTACCTAAGTGACCCAAAAAACTCTACAAGGGAACTCCTATAGCTGATAAACACCTTCAGCAAAGTGGCAGGATATAAGATTAACTCAAAAAAATCAGTAGCCCTATTATATACAGATGATAAAAGGGCTGAGAAAGCAATCAGAGAAACATCACCCTTTACAATTGCCACAAACAACATAGAATATTTGGGGATAATGCTAACCAAACAAGTGAAAAACCTGTACAGCAAGAACTTTGAGTCTTTAAAGAAAGAAATTAAAGAAGGTACCAGAAAATGGAAAGATCTCCCATGCTCTTGGATTGGTAGGATTAACACAGTAAAAATGGCAATCTTGCCAAAAGCAATCTACAGATTCAATGCAATCCCTATCAAAATACCAACACAATTCTTCACAGACCTTGAAAGAGCAAAAACAAAAGACCCAGAATAGCCAAAACAACCCTGTATAATAAAGGAACTTCCGGAGGCATCATGATCCCTGACTTCAAGCTCTATTATAGAACAGCTTGGTATTGACACAAAATTAGACAGATAGACCAATGTAATCGAATTGAAAACCCTGATACTCACCCACACACCTACAAACACTTGATTTCTGACAAACAAGCTAAAATTGTACATTGGAAAAAAGACCGCATCTTCAACAAATGGTGTTGGCATAACTGGATATTGGCATGTAGAAGACTGCAAATAGATCCATGTCTATCACCTTGCATAAAACTTAAGTCCAAATGGATCAAAGACCTCAACATAAATCCAACCACACTGAAACTCTTAGAAGAGAAAGTGGGAGGTACCCTTGAACGAATTGGTACAGGAGACTGCTTCCTGAACCTAACACTAGTAGCACAAACACTGAGATCGACAATTAATAAATGGGACGTCCTGAAACTGAGAAGCTTCTGTAAGGCAAAGGACACAGTCAGCAAGACAAAAAGGCAGCTCACAGAATGGGAAAAGATATTCACTTATCCCACATCTGACAGAGGGCTGATCTCCAAAATTTACAAAGAACTCAAGAAGCAAGTCTCCAAAACACCAAAGGATCCAATTAAAAAGTGGTTTACAGAACTAAGTAGAGAATTTGCAATAGAGAAATTTAAAATGACTGAGACACACTTGAGAAAGTGCTCAGCATCCTTTGCCATCAGGGAAATGCAAATCAAAACAACTCTGAGATATCATCTCACTCCTGTCAGAATGGCTAAAATCAAAAACACCAATGACAGTTTATGCTGGAGAGGATGTGGAGAAAGGGGAACACTCCTCTTTCTGCTGGTGTGAGAGCCACTTTGGAAATCAGTATGGAGATTCCTCAGGAAAATGGGAATCAGTCTACCACAAGATCCAGCAATTCCACTCTTAGGCATATACCCAAAAGATACACATTCATACAACAAGGACATCTGTTCCACTATGTTCATAGCAGCATTATTTGTAATAGCCAGAACTTGGAAGCAACCTAGATGCCCATCAACTGATGAGTAGATAGAGATAATGTGGTACATTTACACAATGGTGTACTACTAAGATGAAGGAAAAAAAAAACAATGGAATCTTGAAATCTTTTGGCAAATGGGTGGCACTAGAAAAAACCATTGTGAGTGAGGTAACCCAGTCACAAATGACAAGCATGGTATGAACTCACTCATATATGGATTTTAGGAATAAAACAGGGGAGTGTCGCCAGGCATTGGTAGAGCACACCTTTAATCCCAGCATTCAGGAGGCAGAAGCAGGTGGATCACTGTGAGTTCCAGACCAGCCTGGTCTACTGAGCGAATTCCAGGACAGGCTCCAAAACAATACAGAGAAACCCTGTCTCGAAAAACCAAAACAAACAAACAAACAAACAGGGGAGTGTCAGCCTACAATCCCACAACCAGAGTGTCTGAGAAACAGGGAGTACCCTAAGAGATACATGCATGGTAACCCAGAGAAGGGGAACAGGACAGAATCTTCTGAGGGGACTGGGAGCATAGGGGAGGGGTGAGGAAGCTGGGAGAAAGAGAGGGGGTGAAAAGGAGGGGAGAGGAGGACATGGGGGAGCAGGAAATTTGAGTCAGGGGAAGAATAGAGAAGAGAAGGATGAGAGATACCATAATAGAAGGAGCCATTCATTATAGGTATGAAGAGAGATCTGGCACTAGTGAGATTTTCAGAAGCCTACAAGGATGACACCAACTGGCAATCTAATCAATAGCAGAGAGGCTACCTTAATTGCCCTTGCCTGATATCATGATTGATGACTTCCTTGTGTGCCATCCTAGAACCTTCATCCAGTAGCTGAAGGAAACAGAGGCAGAAACCAACAGCTAAACACTGAATTGAACTCCTGGAACCCAGTTGCAGAGAGGGAAGAGTGATGAGCAAAGGGGTTAAGACTTGACGGGTGAAACCCACAGAAACAGCTGACCTGAACAAGGGGGAGCTCAAGGACCCCAGACTGATAGCTGAGAGGCCAGCATGGGAATGATCCAGACTCCCTGAGCGTGGGTGTCAGTGAGGAGGCCTCAGCATTCTTTGGGGCCTCGATCAATAGATCAGCATTTAGCCCTGTCATCCAGATGGACTTTGGGAGCCCATTCCACATGGAGGGATGCTGTCACCACCTGTACACATGGGGGAGGGCCTAGGCCCTGCCCTGGATCATATGACAGACTTTCAAGATCCCCCATGAAGGGCCTCACCCTCCTTGGAGAGTGGAGTGGGGATTTGGGGAGGGGCTAGGGGAAGTTTGAAGGGGGGCAGGAGAGGAAGGGAGGGAGAGGGAGCTGGGATTAACATGTGAAGCAAACTTGTTTCTAATTTAAATTAAATTTTTAAAAATCTGTGGCTAACTACTGATACTGCGGTCACTTCCACCTTCCCTCATGTTCTTCAAAGGTGGCTCCATCTCCAGCCTAAAGCTAGTTTTAACGAGTAAGAGTCAGCTACAGAATCTGCAGGCTCCAGCACAAAATGAAAATAGAACCCCATGTTCCAAAGGAACTGAGAATGTCATGACAGTGACAAGAGAGCATGGAGGTTTATGGGATACATCAGGATCCATCCAGCACATGATACCAGTTCTGCTTCTGACTGAAACACAATCACGCCATACTGTGCAATGACCTAGGAGGAAGACGACATTTAGAAGGTCTGTAGCAAATTTTCCTCACTACCCAAAGCTATATGCACAGGTGAAGAATAGGCCTCTGACCTTTGTGCTGAAGAGACGGCAGGGCTGCTACTAATGGCTTGAACTCAGTGCTGCTGTACCAAAGTCAATTGAGCACAAAGACAAACTGACCTATACCTGCGATAGTGGCCTCATATCTGTGGCTAGCCACTGCTAGGTTCCCCTGTCAACAAGCTCCCAACAGGTGGGATTATTCATCCAATGGTTTGACTTGCTGTTTTCTCTGTATTGTTAGTGGCACTGCCTTAGCTGATCCCACAGCTATGCAAAACAGTAACACTGTTAGGGAATTAGGAAATAAAATTCAGACAGGATGCTTCATTCTAAGTCCTACAGCAAAGATGCCATCAAACTAGGATTTAGTCCTTACTCTGCTGTGTTCACACCTCATTCTATGAGTGGTGTCTACTGCATCTGGATTCTAGTACCTCCCCTAGACCTTGAGATGGAAGGTTTGCACTCCCAACCTTTTCCAGTGTAAATGCAGAGGCAATGTCCACTAGTAGTAGGTGAGCATGGTGACATTTTCAGTTATGAGATCTCCTGGAATTGGCAAGACTTCCCAATTGGTGCAGAAAATCTTAATAGGGAAAAAAAATTCAATCTCTGCCCAAAATATATCTTCCGTCATGAATGGGTAGATACACTTTAAAATTTTATGCAAAATTAACATGTGAACTCCCTTCTTCACAACTGTACCCAAAATAGCAGTTTACGTCTCTCTGAAGTAAGTTGTATGTATAAGTCTGGTGCCCAGTGATACTGAGGGGAGCTAGCAGGAAAGCAAACCTACAGGATAAGGAGGGGAGTAAGAACATACTTGGGAGGTTCTCTCAAGCACATGGGACCATTCTTAAAACTGCAGGGTCCTTGAAAGACCAGTAGGCAGAAGATTGACTTAGCACATTAGTTTTGAAGGACAATTCTGAATGCAGGATGGATGACCGGTGAGAAGAAGGCTGGGATGAGCCTAGATCTTTCTGAAGCCAAGGCCCAGGCCTCCCCCCAGTTCCTGTCTCTCCACATCCTTAGCCACAAGTGTCCATGCTGACTGTACTAAAGCCCATGGTGGGGGCAGATTTCGCTGGGGTTCTATAAACACCACGACCACGGCCACCACCACTTCTGCGTGAACTCTCCTTGCCATTTGGACCTACACTTTCAACACCAATCCGAGGACAGCCGCTGTAACCAACCACCTTTCACTTCACTTAGCCTCAGTCTAAGTAATGCTGATGGTTCTGGCATTCCCGCTCTGGAAGCCTGGCAAGCTGGTTTGTGACTTGGGTGTCAGACACTGTGCTAGATCCCTAGGCTTTCAGGGAACAAAGTAGACCAAGTCTTCATGGAGCTGACAGTCCAAAGATGGCGGGCTCAGGTCTGTTTGAGTGTCTAACAGAAACCGGCATTGAGAACTTCCAACCTTGGTCTGGAGAGCATCGCCTGAGCCTCTCCAAGGGGAGTCCTGGGTTATCCCCAAGCGAAGCATGCTCAGCTCCCAAGGCTTTGAAAAAAAACTAAAGCCACTTGGCTCATCCCAGGTTTGACCAAGGGAAAAAAGGCAGAGGATCACTTCCTTGGATCTGCGCAGCAGGTGGCGACAACCTGACCGCTCCGTGCTCTGCGGATGGAGCTCTACAGCTCAGGGCCTGGAGCACCGGCCCCGCAGCGACACTCCAGGCCGCCGGGGGTACTGCAGCGCGCCGCACTGCCTCGTCTAACGGCCGCGCATGCCCAGAGCAATCATCACAGCACGCTCCAGCAACTCCAGCAGCTGCAGGAGTAAAGTTTTTGGGCACACCTAGAGAGTCAGGAGCCCCACAGCCCAGCGAGAGAGGACTGCAGGAAAGTGGTCCACACACCCGGCGCCTGGATATCCTTGAGGGAAGGTTGCTTCTAGGAACAGCATCTCAAAGACCCGAGGTAAGTTGACCAGGGTTACACAGCTGGGAACAGAGTCTACAGCTTCTATTGCCTGCGTCCCGCCACTTGGTCTTAAGAAAAGCCACATCCTTGAGCATTGGGTCTGTAGTGGAAAAAGTGGATCAGGCTGTTCCTGTGGGTCTTTGGTTTATGCATCTGAGATTTGTAGTATGCATGGGAACGCTAGTGTGAACACTCTGGCCTGTGTGCAAGAGACTGGCTCTTTTCCAAGGGACACTGTGTGGTTAGTCAGATAGTATTCAGGAGACCACTAGAGAAAAAAAGACCGGCTGGTGTGGTGTGTAGTGAAAACTAGAGCTAAGGTGAGGTTGATGGGACACACAGGCTTATGGATTCCTTCTTTGGGTCCACGTGTTCTTGGCAGAGTTCGAAAAAGGACTCCTGAAGGCTCAGCTTTCAAGTGGCCCTGCAAGATCTAAATCCAAGCCAGATGTGGTGGCGCACGCCTTTAATCCCAGCGCTTGAGAGGCAGAGGCAGGATGATCTCTGTGAGGTCGAGACCAGCCTGGTCTACAAGAGCTAGTTCCAGGACAGGCTCCAATGCTACAGAGAAACCCTGCCTCAAAAAAAAAAAAAAAAAAAAGATCTAAATCCGCACTGCTCTTCCTTCTCTTCCTCAAACATCACACCTGCAGACCTTCTCAGAGCCGTTGTGCATGCCCCTCCAGCTGCTGGGCTCTTTCCATCTGCACATCATCAGAAATGCCCCTCCAGGGAGCCTTCCGCTATCCCACTGTCATCCCTCCTGCTCTACACTCTTCCCAATCTGACTGCCCCGTTTCATTTCCCCTTGGCATAGGGCACTACTGTACAGGTTTGTGCAGCCACAACCCTGTCCCAAGGGAATGTCCCCTGAGCGAAAGCCAACTTCCTCTGTCCCGTCATCCAAAGACGGGTTCATTCACATCTCTCCTACTGCTGAAGCAGTTACAACAAGGAGGCAGGTTGTTTCTGAAGACTGACAGAAATACGTTTAGCATTTCTGGAGCTTAGAAGCAGGAGGGTGTGGTAGCATTCACCTCTAATCGCAGCACTCAGGAGGCCGAGGCCTGTGGGGTTTCTGTGAGTTGGAGGCCAGGCTAGTTAAGACTACACAGAGACACTGTATCAGACAAAACAAGCCTATAGGATCAAGCTGTCTGCAGGGTCATGCTCCCTCCAAAGCTTTCAGGAGAAGTGGATCCTTCCTTGGCTCTTGCAGCATATGATCACCCCTGCTGGTTTTGATCGACTATGCAAACATTAAAGCCAGTCTCTGCCTGTTTTTGACGCTGTCTTTTGTGTCTAGGCCTTTCCTGGCATCTCAGTTTCTTTTGTTCTCTTCTTCCAAGGACACCTGTCATTGTTGACAAGGGCACACCCTAATGACCTCATTTTAATACGGTTTTGTGCATAGAGACCTTTTCCCAATAAGGCTGTGTTCACAGGAACCACGACAGAGGACTTGGGCATCTTTCTGTAGAGCATAATTCAATTCACATCATAAGGGATTTTGAACAAAAAAAGATCTTGAGCAAATTATTCTAGAGGGTGGGGAAGAGGGCATGAGTGACAGGGACAGAAGTGTGCTACTGCTCCCCATCAAAAGACCCTGGAGGAGCAATACTTGAGCCTGTGTGGTTTCCTGAAACCTAGTCTGCATCCTTGCCTGGTCCTTTTTCCCAGGCTGCAAATATCCATCTCCAAAACCCTCTGCATGCCACTTTACCTCACAACCCTGAGGCTTCTGAGAATTGTGAGGGTTTACAGTCCCTTCTCATCTTCCAGGGGCTGTGACAGTCTAGACAAGTGGTTTTCAACCTTTCTAACGCTGTGACCCTGTAATACAGTTCTTCATGTGGTGGTAACCCCAAACTATATATATTCTGTTGCTTCTTCACAACTGTAATTTTGCTACTGTTATGAATCGTAATGGAAATATCTAATATGCAGGATATCTGGTGTATGACCCCCAAGGTTGAAAACCACTGGGCAAGACTCTGTCTAGTTAAACACTGACAGCTGCATGTGGGGGGAGGTCCTAATGTTGACTGAATTTTACATGAGAAACCAAGGTCCAGGCCAGCTAGAGAACAGGCCTATAGTAACTCTAACTCCAGAGAAGCTTCCAGACAACCCAAGGGCAACCTTGTATCAATCTTATGTGACTAAAGAAGGTGGGACTGGGATGTTTGGGTAGAAATGACAAGGAGGCACGACACCTTGAGCTAAAAAGTTCTCTAACTCTTGGACATTTGCTTCTCTGATACATAACTGATTTTCCTGAGTATGGTTCCTTGTGACACTACAGGTTCTCAGGCATGACCAGGATGAATTCTCAATGTTCTACTCATCATCAACCTACTCTAGAGGGAGACTTTGAACTCTGAACCTGCTTGTTTTTCTTCTGAGAGTAAGTCCTTTAGCTTAGTGGCAGAGAGTAAACAGGAGTAGCTCCCTTATCAGGGTGTGGTCAAAGGCATTGCCTCACAGACTTGCTGTCTGTCCAGACTTTCTGTGTCCAGCATCTACTCCTTCAGGGGCTGGAGGCCTGCCCAGCAGCTGGCATTGTGACTGCCTGCTCTTCCCAAACGCCATCCCTCCAGACTGGATTTTGCCAAAGCCCTGCATCTCCTCCCAGCTTACTATCGATGTGTAGTCGCTGACCTCCACCACCCAGAGGAAGGAACAGGAAACCAGTCCTAGCTTCTTTTCTTTCTGGAGCTTTGGAGAAAAATTCTGCCTGTTGTCCATAGAGGATCTGTACTTCACAGTGACGCTGCCCCTTGCCACCACCAAACTGTCCTTGCTGGGGGGGCAGTTTTATTTTTTGAGGAATCGTATCAGAGTCACTGATTGTGGGGCCCCTGGCCATGTGATACCTTCCTCCCTCAGAGTGGGACTATTTGGGGCTGTCTTTTATCCAGTAGACTGTAGGTATGCACCAATGTGAGGGGGACATTTCGCTGCATACATTTTGGGAACGCAGGGGGTAAATACAAACTCCAGCACTAAATAAGCTCATAGCATCTTCTGACTGTCCCCCCCATCAACCATGTCCCTGCTCGAACTGTCACAATGTGCACTAGATGAGGCCTTAGACTTCAAATACAATCTTCTCAGCTTTAGAAATGACCGAATCTATGCAAGGCCCAGCAGCTAGCTGTATCCAAACCCAGGGCTACAGGCCCATCTCCTTCACTAGGACGCTCCAGAAAGCTGTGATGACTGAAGACTTGAGCCCCTTTTGTTGTCGCTTCACTTACTTGCTGCAGAACTTCAAGCTCCTTGAGGGCAAGCATCAAATCCACCCTTAGCAGGACCCAGTGTAGGACAGGCGCCCATGGATGTTCTGCTAGAACCAAAGGGAAGCGGATTCAGTTCTTTGCAGAGGAATCTGCGAAGCCTGCAGGGCTGAGCGATGCAGACACAGCACTCTTTGGGTGTGAACGCATTGGTTCGAGCCCCAAGCTCAGAGCCCACAATCCAGGGGTAGGGTAGGGGCAAGCTCGGACTCCCGCCTCTCCGCTGCAGTCGCGCCGCATTGCGCACGCGCGCCGCCGGCCCGGCTCCGCCCCCCCGGGTAGGGACCTACAGCGGGCGCGGCGGCGGCGGTCTGTGGGCGGTAGCCGGCTGTAGATTCCAGTCCGTCCGCGGGCATCTGGGACGGTGCGGTGCCGCGGCGTCCGGGTGAGTGGCGGTGCGCGGCGGTGTGGGACCTGGGAGGGTACGGCGGGGTGTGGCCCCACGGTCCCGCGAGCGCGCCTCTGAGTCGAGGCGCCTCCCGTCGTGCTCGGAGGGTCGGGTCGGAGACCCACGGGCGGTCCTGCGGCCTTTGTGCAACGCCGCCTCAGCCCCGCCACTCTGGGCGCCGGGTGGTTGAGCCGGCTTTTTAAATGATGCCTCAGCCCTGAGCAGGAAGTGTCGTCAGGAGGCCATTTTTAAAGACTCTCGGCCTCAGAGGCTGGCTTAAGGCGGCTTTGGTTCTCAGCGTTTGGAAGACACCTCATCTGTGACTGGCGGCCCCTCAAGGGGACGCGACGGTGCGGGCTCTCTTGCATCCGCGCCTCGCTCAGCGCCGTGAGGCGCCTTGGCCTCGCCCCGGAGAGCGTGCATCCCAGCGTGCGCGCCAACAATAAACTTGAGGACCACGCTGGCATTGTCTTTGGAGCGGGTGTCGGGCCGGGCCTGTCCACAGAAGACATTACCGTGGGTGGGATGAGGCTAACGTCAACTTTTGTGGGACAGCTCCATTGCAGCTCTTCAATTTGATCTTGTTGCTTGGAGTTGAGGGGATGGGTGCAGATTAAGGCTAGGGAAAGGGAAAGGGGAACGAACCAATGCAAAGTTTATGACCCAGAAAGGGAAAACCAAAAGATAGAAGAAAATATCGAGCTTCCCTTAGGATTGTTGGGTATCTGGCATATCCCTTTGAACTATTTCTATTAAATTTAAAAACAGGAGGATACCAACGGTATTTATCATAAAAAGTGAAACTTCAAGCACATTGTCCTTTTGAAAGATAGCCTACCAACCCAAACTCAACATGATGTTTGAGGCCTGAAAACATTACCTTAAGTTTAGAATTAAAATCACCTTATGAGAAAATTCCCTGGGTGCCCATAATTTGCAACACGTGGCTACAGAGGATGCCTAGCTTGGGAAGGTGTCTCTATCCCTCAAAGTTGCATATACAAAGTTAAGCCCAATCCAGGACTGTACAGGAGAACCTGCCCTTGCCAAGGATTGTTGAAGCCCATTCAGTATTTATATGCTTGAAGTGTCACATAGTCATCTTTTAAAATTGTAGGCATTATCTTTATCCAATACATGCATTAATTTAAAAATGTGTTTTGTCTTGGATCTGATGTGTTAGCCCTGATAAGACAAAACACATTTGACGTATCCAGCCTTGTTATAGCTGTGGCTGTTGAGTACAGGAGAGCTTTGTCTTGTTTATTGGTTTCCTTCGGATCGCTCATTTTTAAGCCCACTTAAAGAAACCTATCTTTTTCTTTCTTGTCTATCTGCCTTTAAGTAAGAGGGTTTGGAGCAATGTTTGTGTAAGACGCAGAACAAAGAGCAGTTAATAATTACCACTGCGAAGGCTGCCATGTTCTTCACTCATTCCCTTATCCTGAGACAGTCCAGTGGTGGGCTTTTCATGTCCAAGTCCACTGTTGCTGTGGTAAGCAGGGTCCTTTCCAGTGAAGGACCTTGAGTGTTCCTAAACTGCCTTTGCTCTCCACTGCGTACCATGCTGTCCTGCGCACCCAGCCGCCTGCAGAACAGTGACCAGAGACTGTCTAATCCAAACCATCCCTTTATGAATGGGAATGGGAGACACAGGCTAACCTGGGAAGGATTCTGAACCAGTCACCTGCCCCGCCTGAGGAAGGGGGCCATCCATTTCATTTAGGTCACAGGGTTCCTGGGAACCCTTTCTTTTTAAACTTAGACTGGCTGCCATTGAGAAGCATTTGAAGGTTTATTCATTTCTGTCTCTTCTATAATGAATGTATCCAAGAGACCACAGCTTGCAGATCCCAGACTTAAACCGATGTGTCTGACTCTGTTGCAGGCCTATTGGCGCAGTCCTGGCTTCTCAGCATAGATATCTATACCAGGGCCGGAAGTCCTGAGACCTGTGGTCCTCAGTGTCTGAGAAGGCCTGAAAGAGAAGGAAGAGCCACCGAGACTTGCTACACTCTTGACTTATGGGCCTGGAAAAACAGTGCCCTAAAGGTCAGGAATCCTGACTGCGACCTCAGCTCACAAGACAGAGTTTGAACTGAATGCCACCACTTCCCACATCAGTGTGACCTAGAAAAGCCACATACCATCTCCAGGCCTATCGTTTTGAGAGAAGCAGGTAATTGAAGTTTTGCTTCAAAGTGTGTGCAGTCAAATAGACTGTTCGTACAGGCACCCTTCCTGACTAGAGCCAAAGTGCTATAAGCATTGACAAGTAGCCAGCCACTGAGAGCACCCTGGTCAGCTTCCTGATAATAGGATCCAATTTGCCCTTTTACTTCTGGCTCCAGTCAGACTCCTTAGGGACAGGAGCCCATACAGGGGTGGGGCTAGCACAGTCCTCATCTGTGTCCTTTGTACTTGACCAGACCCAAACACTGTGGTAGGAGAGTGGGGGCATTTAGATTACTGAGATCTACACACCTCACAGACACCTTGGTGTTTCCAGGGTTGCACTGCTGGCCAGGGGCAAAGCCTTGACTCTTGTGTGTTTAGGCACCTCACCACTCCAGAGGCAATGGCTTAGTCCCACCTCCAGTGAGAGATCTATAGAATGACAAAGTTTTTCTTGCCTTCCCCACTATCCTGCACCTGTAATTCAGGCGTTCCTCAACTCAAGTTGCATATTAGAATCATTTTCAAGGCATTGTGGACTAGTGTCTGGATTCTTCCCTGCCCCTGTAGCCACCTCAATTAAAACCCTGTCTTGGAGGAATGGGACCCAGGCAGCTATATTTTCAAAGCCTCCCAAGTAACTTCCTTTAAACATCGTGGCCATATCCAGACCACATTTGCCTTAATGTAGGCAAGGCCAGTGATTCCCATGTAGAAGGAAAGCTTTCTTTCTTTTATTAAACTATCTGTTCTACACATTGGTGTGGGGGGGTGTCTTTGAGGCAAAAAAGGAAACGAGGGAAATACAAAAATGTTTTCATGCTAAATATTTTTGGTGAATAATGGAATGTTTCAAATCCATAATTTGTGCCTACTGCTTCTAATACCACTTAGCTGTGTGTGTGTGTGTGTAGAGAGAGAGAGAGAGAGAGAGAGAGAGAGAGAGAGAGAGAGAGAGAGAGAGAGATCTGATGCTAATAAGCATATTTGATCATTAATGTTTTCTTTTTCACATTTAAACGACAAGCCTTAAACTCAAAGGACTTCAGCCCTACACTTTGTTTTCTCAAACTATTGGGAGAAACAGCCCATAAAATCCCTTCCTTTGTGTTCTGGTGTAGAGTTCACTGGTGCTCTCTGCAGAGCCAGTTCCTACTTCAACCCTGGGGAGCAACACCTGGGAGCTCCTAGCAAGTCCTGTGTGTGTGGACCTTTCTCTCTGCCGCCTCCTTTGTTCCCTTTTGAAGTTTCTGTGTCTCAGAGCTTTTACTGGACTCTTAGACTTAATGGAGTCTATCCAAAGCGTTGGCATTTCCTGACAAGACAGGGTCTTTGTTATTAGCCACTAGCATTTAGTTTTTGTTCATTCATCTTCACATCACCTTGTGTCCACTCATTCTCTTATCAGCCATGTGGTGAATTGTCCCGTTTTACAACTGCAGAAACTAAGCTTGGTTAAAAGTCTAAAATCGCATGTAGCCAGCTAGTAAGCCAAAGACCTACCTGCCTTTTCACACTTGTCCATGGTTTCCCAAGATTCTGTTCTCTGCACTCTTAAACTGCAGGCACTGAGAAAGCAGACAGACCATCACAGCCTTCTGGCTCTGTTCTATTGCCCTGGCAATATACTTGCTTTCGAGACCAGGGGTCTCCCCGGGGGCAGTGTGTTTGTCAATGGCATTTGGACATGCTTCTTGTCATCAAGGTGGCAGTCAGTCTTAATCATTCCCAAATGCAAGGTAGTTCAGCATGAAGAGTCCACTGTGTGATTCACATTACCTGTTTAGGTCCTTTACCCCATCTGCTCAGTTCTGATTGTGGTCATTGAAATACTCACCCAGGAGGTGTTTTATTTAAAGGTCTGGGAGATGATATGCTGTTTACAAGTCTAATACTGACATCTCCCCCCACCAGTCTTACATGTACACACCACTGGGCGTTATGGGGTCAAATGGTGTTGAAGGGGTCACTGAGAGGGGAAGGTGAGACAAGTCATAAACAAAAGGAATGCATAAATACAGCTTGTAAGTTGCACACTGTCCCTTGCCTGCCAGGGACAGAGAGAAATTACTTGCCATAGGGCACAGCCAATAAAGGCTGAAGAGCTAGACACCCAGCAGATCCTTTGTTCTTCCTGAGTTCAGAACAAATCCTTGCCTGGTGATGGATGTGGGTGGAGCCAATTCTGCATTAGAATGCCTACAAAAAGCTGCTTGAGTTTGCTTCCCAGTAAAAACAGATATAGCTAGTCATCTATCCTGTATCCAGCCACATTCTTTCCTTATTGACATCTAGAGGGGACATTTGCTGCAGGCCTGTGTCAAGAGGGTAGGGAAGGATCACCTTGACACTAAAGCCAAGGGTGGTGTGCATTCAGCAGTGTCTTTTGTCCCCTTGTGATCACTGCCCTGTTACTGCTGAAGCTGACAAGTTGTTTCTACCTGGGTCAGTCTTGACTGCAACCAAACAGCGTTAAAATTTAAAGTGAGATTCGGCTATGTTCTGGAAAGACCTATGGTCAGGCACCAGAGAAACCTATGCTTGGCATAATTTCTTAATTAAGATGTAGAGTAATGGTGAATGAGACCTGGTGAGTCAACTGCTCACCCAACACTTGTCACCTGTATTATAGTAGTTACCCTTACTGCCAACCTTGTGGTACAGGCTTGAGAACAGCATACGCAGTCCACACACTGCTGTTTAAAACCCTGCATTGTTCTATAATGATAATGTGGGGCCTGGTCTTACATGCTTGGCCCTTTCCAGTCTGTTGAACACTAATAAGCATTGGGATGCCATATGCTCCCTTCTTAGTAATGAGTACAAACTTTGCCTTTGACTAACTTTTAGTGTTGCTGAACTGGATCTTCAAGTTAAATTTTTCCACGTAAAAAAAAAAAGCCTTACCCATATTGCGTACAACTCACCCCTACCTCAGTGCTGAGACCGAGTTTGTGGTATACAGAACTATTTATATGCCATACATGACAATTACCTTTGGCTTTTGCTGTAGATAATTCTGTTATTTAAAAGCTTCTTATGTGCTGCTAAATCATAAAATTATTATGGGAAAGAGACAGTGTTAAATGGATCTCCTACTGCACCATTAAGTTAACAAGTACCGAGCCCTTCTCAGTTATCTGTAAAAAAAGAAAAATGGTGTCTTGCCGTATGAGCTGTGCCTTTGGAGGTCGGTGAACTCTACCACTGATATCTTGGGTGCCTTCAGCTTTTTTTTTTGTTTTTGTTTGTTTTTTTGTTTGTTTTTCGAGACAGGGTTTCTCTGTACTGTTTTGGAGGCTGTCCTGGAATTAGCTCTGTAGACCAGGCTGGCCTCGAACTCACAGAGATCCACCTGCCTCCCGAGTGCTGGGATTAAAGGCGTGTGCCACCAATGCCCGTCTCGCCTTCAGCATTAAGGGCATCCATGTACAGCCCTCTGTCTGCAGTGTCTTATGTTGTATCCTTGGCCTTCAGTCCATTGATAATAACTTGCCAAAAGGATGCAGCTTTATAGGTAGTCAGGTGTGAATCAAACGAAGGACTTTGTGTGCAAGAAAGGAAGTGTTGGCCGCGCCTAAGCAGTGTTGTGTCCATCGCAGCCACCATTCTTCTCCCAAGATGCTGCTCCCACTCACCCATTCCTTGGGACATTAGGAGCTGTATTCTGTCCTGAACTTCAATACACAAGTTACAAAAGTCAGGTAGAACTTTTAAAGAAACCTCGATCTTTTCCACCATGGGGGGGGGAACAGTGGTAGTGTACTAAGGACTATTTAAAAGTGTAGAAGATATTTGAAATGCTTCACAGGCCAGATGTCTGCCTTCTCTGTACAAGGATGTATGCTGATCAGTCTTGTGTCTCACATTCACACTTGTTCTCAAAGATTCTTAATTTCAAATATAAGTTGTCCCCAACGTATGATAGTTCCACCTAGAACACTGTGGCTTTTTGACAGTGTAGATGCAGTGTGCATCCAGCAGGAACCATACATCTGGGTTTGTTTTTTTACCTTTTATCAGGCTGGTCATTTGCAGCACAGCACTCTTGTGATGGTCAGGAGGCAGCAGTGACCTGGCGCTCATGGTCACCTATGCTTTTCGTAAGTGTGAGTCATCAATACTGTACCCATAAACTGTATTCAAAAATGAAATGACTTATTATAAACTGTCTAGCTGTGTGCTATTCTGTGCTTTAGGCCAGGTGTATTACATTCATGTTTCACTTAGGATATTTTTGGTTTGTGTTGGAAATTGGGGAGCATATGGTACCACAGGACCCTGTTGTGCTTTAGCCACTTAGTACTGGCCTGATTGTTTAGGAACACTTCTTCAGGATGCTCTCCACTTCTTCCTAATGGTCATGAACATGCTGGCTAAACCCTTTTAAAGTTTTGAAAGGACTTGGAGAGAACATGGAAGAATTATTTTCTTTCATGAATCTTCGAGGCTGTGAGAATGTAAAAAACTGACCATGTATAAATGTAATCCTTGTTAATGTGGTCCTTCTCCTGAGGGAAGCTTTGCAGCTGGGGTTCTTTGATAACTACTAATAGTTAATGTTCATATAATGAAGCACTGCATTGAAACCATCAATGAGTAAGCCATGGGGGACAAGAGATTAAATTAGAGCACCCAACAGCACCATTGCCACTCATGTCAAAAGCTTATGAGACTGATAGATGAGAGCAGACATCACCTTAATGACTGGGTACAGATCTTTAGAAGAGAACTAAGAACCAAGGACTGCCTGGCAAGAGCAGAATTGTGCAGGTTACTAGCCAGCCCATCAAGAGTAAGCCCTTTGTTTACCTACAAGTCAGTAAAAGATGAATTACAGGGATGTGTCTTCACTTTTATTTGAGGGTAGATTGTTGACAGTGAAAACAGAATTCCACCTGAAGAGGGAAGGGTTTGGGAGCTTAGAAGAGTCAGTATGTCTAAGGTAGAGGTGTTCAAAGGACTTGAACCTGTCTAGAAGCTAGCAATTTCAGCTGTGGATTTTGTCAGGGTTACCCGGTGTCCTTAATGCTTTAAACAGCCCCATCTCCTGAAAGGGAATGCATCCCAGGAATGTCTGTGTTTGCATGGCTCATAGGTTCCTCCACCTTCAGGACCTCTGGGCATGAGCCCTACTCCCTGACTTCAGCCTCTGCAGTATGTGGCTCTTGTTTTTCAGGCCCTACTTGCAGTTAATGGCATCTGCATGAAGTTGCTGGGGAGAACATGTTGAAGACACTGGTGTTCTTAGATTATAAAATCTGATTTCAGAGACCAACAACCACAGGCTTAGGATCCAAGTCCAGGCTTCTTCCCTGTAGATGAACAAACAGATACACAGGCTAGGGTTAGGAACCCGGTCCAGCTGTGCCTTAGAGATGATCAAATAGGCGCGCATAGGTCACTGTATGAGGTCAACTTTGTGTGTGGCAGGAGTGCTAGGGATCACCCTGTCTCCTCTCACATGTGCCATTTAAGGATTTAGAAAGTAAAGAGTGTGTCTGCTTCCCCTACTGATATCCCTGAAAGGCTTCCCTATGTCTACACCAGGGTACAGCAAAGTAGAAAGACTGCTTCTCTGCTGCCAGTTGGGAGCATCCATGTGTTCTGTTCAAGTCATGGTCCTCTGGCACATGTACATGCTTGAACTTGGAGCACTCAGACAGCACTTGCAGCCCACAAGGCCTCTGTCTACTTGATGACGAGCATGGTATCAGGGCTTGCATGCCAGTAGTTGCTTTCAGAGAAGGTGACCACCATTCACCAGAGCTGGACAGGAAAGAAAATACTGCAGAAGAAATCACAGCTTGTCATTAACTGTAGGGTATTCATTGTTTTTCAGAGCTGCATTTAAAGGTTTTCATGCCAAATCTGAATGTGCAGCAGAGAGACCCATGGCTGCCCTGAGCTAAGCTTTCAGACTGGCTTTGTGTAGCTCTTGGCTTAACCATCCTGTGCCAGAAGGAGCTGCTGGTTCTCCCTCACTTTGCTGCCCTGTGGAGACAGTAATCCTTGCAGCACTGAGGGAGAGGCTGCATGAAGTGTTCATGGTCCTCATTGCCAGATGAAAACAGGAAATTTGCTCAAATATGCAGGTTTGGTTGATTTAGATCATGAAAGATCAGCTTCCAGCAGATTCCAAACAAGTAGTATTGTTGGGCTCCTAGTTTGTATCTTCCAAGTAAAGTATATATTCTCAACCAGTGTGTAACATGCACATGCACATGGAAGATCTTACTTGTTCTAGAAGATCCGTGTTTCCTCTCCTGTTCTAATCCAAGGCATCATGGTCCATGGCTACTGTTTAGTCCTTTGCAGGCTCTAGTTCTCCCAGATCAGCTGCGTGCTGTTGGAATGTAAATGAGAGCATGTCATTCCATTGATCCAATGGCTCTCCCAGTTCTCTGTCGCATGTGCTCCAGGCCCACTTCCACAGATCTTAGCCTTCTCTCTGCTTGACACATCCTTTTTTTTCTGCACTCCCATAGAACTCAGTCCCTGGCTGCCACGGGTCTTTTACAGATGTGGCTTCCCTACTTCAGGATTTCCTGAATGCCCTCCTTCCACAAAGCCCCACCGCCTCCTCACATTAGCTCTCCCTCTCCTCTTCACCTTGCTTTTTGATATTTATTTAGCAGTTTGGTTTTTGTTTTTTTAACTGTCATTTGGCAACTAAATGTTTGAACCACACCTCCAAATGTGGGCTTCATAAGTGGAAGACAGTGATACATCTGTTTTTAAGCATTTTTAAATTCATTGAGTATGTACACATGCCACAGAACATGTGTGGCAGCCAGGCAACAACTTTTAGGAATGTAGGCTCTAGGAGTGGAACCCAGGCTGTCACTGTTAGCACCAAGTGTATTACCCATTGAACCATCTTGATCACTGTCCTCCAGCATACAGAGCCTAGCACTTGATGGAGGACCCTGAAGATGATAAAGAAATCACTATATTTGAGTCAGTGTTGCTGGCTTCACCACCTGTGTAAGTAAAGTGGGCGTGTGAATGAGAGTTAAAGTAATGTAGGTGCGTATCTGACCAACTGACCATAAGCCCTGGCTCTACCACTTGGTGACTTTACACATCAAAACTGAGTTGACAGTCTTTCTGATGTTTTATGAGGATCGTATGAAACTACCTGTGAAGTTGCTAGAATGTACTCCCTGTCAATTAAACCAAACAGTCCCTTATCACAGGTGATCCTGGGCTACTGATGATGTCCTTCCTGCAGGAAACTCTGGTTCACAGTTGGTCTAAAGTGGAGGTTGCTAATGCCTGGGCTAGAGACTGTTTTTAGCTTAAGCTTGGCAGCATGCTTGTGTTTGTGCTGCTGCAGCCCAGTGCTTTAATATCTGTGGGGATTCTGCGTGAAATTCCCACAGAGTCATTACAGTACAGTAGAAGTATTGGTAGCTTCGTTTAAACTTTGAGTCTCTGTACTAATCGTGCTTTGTGGTCTTTTCCTGTAGTGTTGCCTGGAAACAGAACTGAGAACAGTCATATTGAGGCTCATGTATTTCCTGTGAAAGGACACAAAACGTGATTGATTATTAAGTATTTACCAAGAAGTGTCTGCTGCTCCACCAGTGACTGGGTGTGCGGGAAGGATGTCTGCAGAGGACTTCATCGAATGACATCTTCAATTTCAGCTGGCTATGTGGGTATGCAGCTAAAGATGAAGGATATCGGAGAACAGCTGTATACCACACAAGTGAATGGTGGACCAAGTTCTTTGACCATGTCTCCCAAACAGCCTAATTGTAGTAGAGCAACCCGGCCAGATAGACAGGAAGCACAAACCCTACTCTACCAAGGTTCAGAGGCAGAGGCTGCCACAATGACTATTGCTACTTGTGTACAGTGCAAAAGTGTTCACAAGATCCCACCTCAAGACTTGAGAAAGGGTCCTGGGCAGAGCCAGAAGGAAGATGCTTATGTCTGCTTCAAATGCAGCCTTCGCACAGTACCTGCCCAGCTGCATTTTGTGAACAGTAACTCCAGTGCTGTCCATGTCAGAAATGAGACGGAAGCCATCTCTAGTCCTGTAAATAACAAATTTAAGGTTAGGAACTTCAAGCCAGGCAAATACTACTGTGATAAGTGTCGGTTCTCCACCAAGGACCCGCTGCAATACAGAAAACACACAATGCAGCATGAGGAGATCAAGTTCATCTGTTCTCACTGCAGCTACATCTCATACACGAAAGGAGAGTTTCAGAGGCACCTGGTGAAGCACACGGGTATCTTCCCTTACCGATGTGAGTACTGCGAGTACGGTGCTATCCGCAATGACTACATTGTCAAGCACAGGAGGAGGGTCCATGAGAGGGCTGGTGCCAAACGACCACTCAAAACTGTTGCCAAGCTGGAGCCCAAGAGAGCAACCAACATTTCAAAGCAGAGCATGGAACTCTCAAAGGCCCCCAGTCCCAGGGCTACCTTCCAAAACAAGTTATCAGACCAGCTATCTCGATTCTCTCTCCACACAAACAAAGACAAGACACACAGTTTGATGTTGTTACCCGAGCTCAAGAAGTACCAAAAAGATGTAGTGTGTATTCCCAACAAAATGGCCCTGTCTGAATCGAGCGAGGTGAGCCTGTTGGGGCATAAGAATGTTGAGGTGGAGGTGCTGTCCCCCTCAAAAGAGCCTGTGCAGCCAGGTATGCCGCTGACTGTCGTGGCGCCTTCAGAGCTGGTAGTCCCCACCAACTGCCTAGCCCAATTGATCGATGTGAAGGTTGTCAATGGCACACAGCAGCTTGTGCTTAAACTGTTTCCGTTAGAAGAAAACTCCCGCCTTGAAACAGGCAGAGAAGACGGAAGCACTTCTGAGTGCACAACGACTGAGAAGGGCTCAGGGGGGCAGAAGAAAAGGCTTTCTCCAGAAGCAGCGAGGTCACTAGCAACGGAAGGGAACACTGCAGAGTTCGTGGGCATTGACCATCTGCACTCTTTGGTTCAGAAACAGCTTAAAAATGTGAAGTGGGTGAAGTCTTGCAATTTCTTAATGCCCAATTCTGGTGTACATAGTCATCAAGAATCTTTTCTCGGTTCTGATACAGTTAAAGATTTGCAGAAAACTCACAGCTTATGTCCACCTAGAGCCCTTCCTTCTGTTGCCTTAAAAGGTCATTCTCCGGCCTCTGTACAAAGCAGTGTTTCCTGTGGTCCTGGAACCACAGTGAACCCTTTCTTGAGTAAATCAGCTATTTCTTTTGCTGAAGATGGAAGGGGTTCCCGCTCTGACTCCCAGCAGCTCCTTCCCCTCGCCTCACTGCCAGCAAAGGTTTCCTTCTCTGGAGAGAAGGGCTTACTGCCTATAGGTGAAAATGACTTAGAAGCTAGGAATAGGATTAGTTGTCCTGAAACAATAGTTTCCACTGACAGGAAGCTGGAAGACAAACGGATAGAAAACAAAGCAGTGGGAAATACAGGCCAGCTTTCCTCTGCACAGAAAAATGAGTACTTACACAAAAGCCTTACCGGGAAAGAGAAACTGAGGTCCCAACAGCCTGGGGATCAGCCTGTACAGCCGAAGAATTCTGACAAGACCGGTAACACATTTGAAGGTCCTGTCATCTCATCAGTATTTTCTCTGAGCTCTGGATCTGAAAATGTACCAGAGGGCATTAAGTGGAATAGTTCAACAACCAAAATAAAGTCCATCGAACTGCTGCGCAGAAAGATAGCACAGTTAATTGAATCTTGTGGCAAGCCTTCCTCTTTGTCCGCCAATGGTGCTCAGCGACGTTCCATAGGGCAGGCATCCAAGCTGACTTCAAAAGCAACTCCCAAGGGTATTCAGGAAATGAGTGCGTCTCTTTCTGGCCCTGGCCCTAGTTCTGGCCCTTCTATAGGCCCTCCCCCAAAACCTCAGAACGAGAGCAGTGTTACTAGCAATGGGCAGCTTGCTCAACAGCAGGTCTGTCCCAAGTTTGTCAATGCTGATGATGGGAACATGGAAAGCAGAGTGACCCGAAAGACTCCTGTTGCTACTCCAGTGCTTATCCCCAAAGGGGCTGTGCTGAGGGTCCTTAACTCTTCTGAAGATGCTCACATCATAGAAGCTACCTATGACACACCTGTCAGCATCCCCTGCAGTGAAACCCAGTTAGCAGAACCGCTTCCATTCTGCCCTATGGAACAGACTGGCTCGGGCTCCCAACCTTTGACATGCAGGCGTGGACCAGCAGACATGTCCCCAAATCTAGAGACATCTCTTCGGCCCAAATCTAAAAGAGAGGACTCTGTCTGCAGTACTACCCTTAAGAAAATTATCCCTGTGTACAGCACACAGCTAGGAAACAATGACTCCAGCAGGCCAGGGAGGCCCATTTCTAGAAACCTAACCATAAGCAAGAATAAAACCAAGCAAGTGAACTCAGCCAAGAAGAAAAGCAAGATGCAGGCTGATCCCATTCGCTCTTTCAAAGACCCTTCCTTCTTTCAAGTTGCAAGGCAGCTGAGACTAATAGCTGCCAAACCAGATCAGTTGATAAAATGTCCTCGTCGGAACCAACCAGTCATCGTGTTAAACCACCCTGACGTGGACTCCCCCGAAGTGACCAACGTGATGAAGGTAATCAACAAGTACAAAGGCAACGTCCTCAAGGTTGTCCTGTCCGAGAGGACTAGGTGTCAGCTGGGCATCCGGCGGCACCACATGCGGCTGACCTACCAGAATTCAGAAGAAGCAAACCACATGAAGAGGCAGATGATGTTGAAAATGAAACTGAAAAAGGTGCATAAAAACAACTACCAAGTGGTGGGCTCCTTGCCAGAGGACCCTGCCCAGTGTGTATTTAAGTGCTGGTTCTGTGGGCGGCTCTATGAAGACCAGGAAGAGTGGATGAGTCACGGCCAGCGGCATTTGATAGAGGCTACCAGAGACTGGGATGTCCTTTCTTCAAAGGGCAAATGAGCAAAAATTGATCTTTGAAGCAAATTGGTTTTCTTCTAGTTTTCCTAGCTTAGGGTTGCACCCTAAACCCTCAATTCAGTAGAAGGGGGTTCCTTATTCCCCAGAGTCACCATAGGAAGGTTGCGAGCCCCTTACCTGAGCTCTGTGGCTGGACCAAGAGAGGTAGGAGGCCCCGGAAATTTTGTTTTCTCTTGAAAGGATATAATGCTCTCTGCAGGTTTTCAGTGGAATCTGAGACCGTTCTTGCTTAGTGTTTATTTTTCTGAGTAGACACATCTTTCATAATCAGTTTAGAGGGGCAGGTTTATGATTGATATGCTTCTCAGATAAGTGCTGCTGGAGAGTTAAGCCTGTGTGCACACATCCTCTTTGGTTTTGCTTTGACTCTGCCAGAGCATTTGGTACGTAAAGAAGTTACATTTCTACTTGATGGGCCATTTTAAATTTGGTTAGAAAATATGCTGTACTTGACCCCTTCCACTCCAGGTACTAGCAGTGTTCTGCAGAGCCATGAGCTTTGCTTTCACTGGTCATGTGTCAGCAACAGGTTTTAGAAGAAAAATCAAAATTTTCAGTATTTAGTTTTTGTTTGCTTATTGGTAATAGTCAGGGAATGTATCATTGGTTTTTTGTTTTGTTAGGTAAAGAAGGAAAGATATATAAAATTAAGTTTGTTCTTTGCATTAATGCTCCACCAAACATAAAGGGCCATTTTTAAATGTGAAGGAGCAGATCCATTGAAACAAGCCTCAGCAGTGTCATTCCAAGTGGGCTTGAAAGCCGGCTGTGAAGGGCCTGTTGTGACGTGACTGGCTTCTCACCTGGGGATCCGTGCCAAACCCCAAGGGATGCCACCTCTTGAGTATAGGGCCATAGGGCTGTTTCGCCAGGCCAGAGCTGTTCTCCCTTTGTCCCTTTCTAAATATGTAGGTCCTGGGGAAGAGCACAGTTGCAGAGTCTGAGACCCAGAACATTTTTCCTCATGAACACTAGCAACTGTAGGAGAAGCCCTGTGTCTATGGAGGCTTTAAGAACACTACCTGTTTTCAGTGCAAGGAACAGGACCACTCCTAGTCTAGCCACAGATGCTCTCCTCTTGCTCACCTTTGTTGGGAGGACTTCACTAAGAGGTGTCAAGACCCACCAGTCCACAAGGCACCAGTGCACATTAGGAGAAAGCCTATCTCCTGCATGGGTAGGGCCTTCTGGGCAAGAGCAGCTCAGGCAGGGGGCCCAGTCACAGGCCACCCCTCTTGAGGCTGTCCATCCTTAGGGGTTTAGTGATGCCATGAGTGAGACTGGAGGGGGGCTAGATGTAAAAATGGTATGGTGACTTCTAATCTACTGGGTAATGAAACTTCCTGACTTTGCCTGTTCATGTGGCAAGCTTATCTTCTCACAGTTGGTACTATACTCCTTTCAAGTTTGTTTTCATTATAAATACTTGGCTTTTCTTAGGTATAATTCAATACCTGATCATTTTGTTAATTGATAATTTTAATTTAAAGTTGCATTTTATATATGTGTATATATGTGTACACATATAAATATTTTTTACCATATGCAAATTGCAACAGCTAATTTTCTGATTTCCTATTTTGTAATGATACATGAGCTTGGAAAATATAAAGCTTTTATATTCTAGAAATAATTTATTTTGAGAGAACATTTTTACAATGGTTTCATTTCATTTTTAGAAAATGAAAGCACAGTAAATAGTTGGACCTGATTCCTATGAGCAAACAGGAGTAGACAACCCCTGCAGGTCATTGTATTGTGGCATATAGTCATGCTTGGTGCTCGGTGGCTCTGTAATGCAGAGCATTCTGAGGTCTGATCTGTGGTGCAGACTGGTACCCTCCAGCTCAAATGTTTCGTGTGATGTGGGAGGAAGGGCTGTGGGATCCACTCCTTCTCTACCTCACTGCTGCACCATTTTATCCCCTGAATGGCTGGGCCAAGAGCTGCCACAGATCGGTGTCAACAGAATAGTTAGACTCTGCAACAGCAGCTGTTTTCAAGTATTATCTAAAACAACTAGTATGTGTGTGGAGCTGGAGTTAGTGAGCAGAATATGTAGCAAATTCTTTGGGGGATTTTCAGAACTACAATCCTTATTGAGGAACTCGAAGGGCTCCTGAAGTCCTCCGAACAGGAAAGGAAGAAGTGACTAACTTTCCAAACACAGATCTTTAGAAAGCGTGTGGAAGGATCCTGTTTCTAATGGATGGGAGGGAGGAGGACAGAAATGTGGTACTTTCATAGTCTTACCTTGACTTTGAAGGGTCTCTATAGTCACTACATTTTGTTCATAGTACTTATAAAATTATTTTAAACTTATTTTTTAAAGCTAGTTTTTCTTACTTTGGGGGACCAGAAGTGAAAGGATCTTCTTATATTTATGATATAGACAAGTAGAATTTAAAAAATTTAAGCCTCTGACTCTCAATAGATATATTTTATTCAAAAATTTTATCTCCAGCCCAAAACATTTTGTGAGCCCCCGTCATGGGACACACACTTTTAAACTAAACTAAACTTGATATGTTGACCCTCCAAAGTTCTATCCCCCTTTATTAGAATTTACATATGCCACCCGGAATATGAAGGTATAGTGTTTAGCCTTCAGAATGACTTTTGAATCTGTGAATGTCTTTATGAGCAGAAAACAAAACTGTCTTAACATGTCAAGCATTACAGTTCCTGTGTGAACAGTTTGTCTGCTGCTCTGGTTCTGAAACATGTTTGTATATAGATAGAAAAGTTGACATCAATTTTGTTTAATAAAGCAACTTTTAAGATCTTGACTGTTCTCTCATTTCAGATACTAAAATGGGATGGCTGCAAAGTGCAGAATCTTGCGTGTAGTACTGATGTGTAAGGGTAGTGATGCTCACAGTATAGGCATTGAATTCTACCAGGGTATTAAGACACCTTGCCAGAAATGCAAACGCTGATGTAAACCCACACAACCCATCTGTTTGGCTTTATTGGCAAGAACAGCTTTGCAAGTTTCCTACCGTGCCCAGTGGCCTGTGTGGCCTCTCGGAGGGGGATTTGAGGTGAGACTGTTTCAGCTGTCAGGCTGTTTCACTGAAGCAGTAGCTGCACTGCTGCCATCTTTAGTCCAAATTAGCTCTTGTATCTGATTCCACATATAATTGAGAAGGACCATTATGTCCCAGGGAGAAATGAGCTTGAGGTAAACATTGGCCAAATGGGGGGGGGGGGGGGGTGGATAGGTTACTTCCTTACTTCCACTTAACAATTTCACTAACCAGTTCATTACATGATTGAAATGAGCTGTCACCCTTTGGAGGGTTCCTCTATTCAATTGTTCCCTTTGACAGTTCCTTTATCAGACATTCTCAGATGAGATGGCCTGCCTGGGAAATTAGATTTAGTCCACCACAGCACTGTCCGATGGAAATATAACACAAGCCACCTGTCAGACGAAACATAATGACAATTATGATTGTCATCTTTAAAATACTGAAGTATTTTCAGTATGCTCATATTATGTGGTTTTTTTATAATTTAGGAGTCTGTTTCCACATTTCAATTTTGAAGTTAAGATTTCAACTATAGCTAAAAGCAATTTTACGCACTCAAGTGTTTAACAGAAAGTTGTTTCACATTGCTTCCATCTTAAGTGGTCACCGTAGCCACATTTCAAAACTGAAGCTTCAAGGATCTGGTACCCTCTTGTCAAACTGACACACACATCCTAAATCTGTTTTGTAAGTTGGTTAAGACATGGGGAAGAGGGAACCTCAACATAATATTTAGCAATAACAAAATTGAAAATCTGTTTTCCCTGATACAAATGAAATGATGTATCTCTGCTAGTATTTATTGGACATTTGAGTTTTCTGTAAATGGCCAAATACTTTGGCCATTTCATTAATAAACTGTTAAATTTTTAAAAGAAACTAGACTCCATGAAAGAAATCCATAAAGGAAAATAAATTCTCTTTGGGTTTTCTACCTAAACGGTTCAAACCCTGATGTGAGCCCATGCTACTGTTGTTTGGCTTAAATTCATGAGAGGTACCCTTTGAAAAGTAATGTCAACTCCTGTTGTTAAAAGTAAACTTCTATACCACAGTGGGCACAAGTAGTAGAAGCACTGCTCATTCTCAAGGTTTGCTGCAGTCTTTTTCAGAAAAATCAAGCCCAGATTGTTTTCTAATGTGAAAAGTATTTGAATTCTAATAGATGGCAATTCTCACAAAAGGCCATTCGAAGTAGATTTTCATTGTTTCTCTTGCACCCAGTACTAGAGAGTCCAGGATTCAATAGGAGCCATCACCCATGTTTGCAGTTCATATTTGTATTGATCTGTAATGGATCTGTGTGCTGAGTTCATTTTGAAGTTAAGAACGAGTCAGTTCACAGTGACCCAGGTGTATAGCAAGGGAGGAACCTCTCTGTAGGAGAGCCTCCATAGCATCGTGAAGCTGTCGTGAGAGTCAGTAGTTCCAGGCTGTTTGATCTTCCCTAAGTGTTTGTAAATCAGTTGATCAAAACAAATTGAAATTTTGATTGGAAGAACGTTGACACTGGACACATTAAAGGAAGATTGGCATTAATGTGGACATGTCATCCGGGGTAATTTGTTAGAAAATATAGTAGGGATTAAATTATGCCAGGCCAATGATATCTAATAATTGACTTCCCTTATTTGGACTATAATAAAAAATGTAGACTGCAGACTGGAAAGATGGTTAAGAGCACTATCTGCTCTTTCAGAGGTCCTGAGTTCAATTCCCAGCAAATACATAGTGGTTCACAACCGTCTGTAGTGGGTTGTAATACCCTCTTCTGGCCTAAAGGTATACGTGCAGATAGAGTACTCATATACATTAAATAAATAAATAAATAGACTGCAAAGTGAAAGCTGGAGAGGAAAATAATCACTTGCAAACAAAGAATGTACAAAAACTAGCTGCCAAGTGCAAACTTAATGTTCCTTAAAAGTCCTGTTACTCCATCTGCATCCAAATGAAATGGCTCTGGCAAGAATGTCCCTGTTACCCGTTCTCAATAGATGTCTAGTCAATTTAATCTGAGTGCTTTATGTTTACCCTAAAAGTACTCCAATGATCTGAAGTGCAGAGTAATGACTTTATGACATTTTCACCTACTTGTCGTGTTGTGCCTTCCTCACATCAACCCCTAGCTCATCCAGCCTGCCCTCTTTCTAGTCCTGTTCCTCCCATGTAAGTCCTTCTGCCTTCCTGTCATATACACGTACAAACATTCACACTTAATAGATGCCTCCTCTAGTAGAAAATGTAACATTTGAGTCTGGCTTGCTTAATATGATGTCTGGTTTCATTCATTTTTTTCCCTTTGGGTGATACAACATCTTTCTTCATGGCTGAATGAGACCTCTCTGTACATAACCTTCCACGTTTTCTTTATCCACTCTTGGCTGTTGAGAAGAATGCAGCAGTAAACCGTACAGTTTTGTCTGTTGTGTGCTGACTTCAGAGTCCCTAGGCTATATGCTCAGAAGAGGATAGCTGGATGATTGCATGCTAATTTAAATATCTGAGAACCTCCATGCTCATTTCCACATAGGCTGCACAGGTTTGTCACGGTTCTTCTCCTGACACCATGTGCATCTTCATTTTTTGTCTGTTTTTTTTTCTTACTGATCTTCATTCTGACAGGAGATGGAATCTCAGTGTAGTTTTAATTTGCATTAGTTAATGGATGAGGATGATGAATATTATTTAAAATGTTTACTGCCCATTTGTATGTCTTCTGTTGAAAACTGTCTGAATTGTTAGCCTGTTTATTGGTTGGATGAATTTTTTCTTTTTTCTGTTAGTTCTTCATAGACTCTAATCTTGATCTCTTGTTGGGTGGTTCGGATTTTCTCTTCCATCTGCTGCCTGTTTCCTTTGTGGCTCAGAAGTTGTGTTTGTTTGTTTGTTTGCTTGTTTGTTTTATGTCATGTAATCCAGTCAGTCAGTTCTTGGGATGGGATTTCCTGTAATAGTGGAGTCCTTTTCAGAAAGTCCTTGCCTATTCCTTATTAAGTGTTTTCCTTTAGCAATTTCAAAGTTTTAGGTCTTACATTAAGGTCTTTGAGAGGTATAGGTTCAGTTTCAATTTTCTAAATGTAGATACCTAGTTTCCCAGATTTATGAAGAGGCCGTTTTTTCTCTAATACATTTCGTTTTGGTTTGGTTTAGGTTTTGGTTTTTTGTGTTTGTTGTTGTTGTTGTTGATGTGCTTGTTTTTTGTTTTGTTTTTGCCTCTAAGACAGGGTTTCTCTGTGTAACAGCCCTGGCTGTCCTGGAACTCACCTTGTAGACCAGGTTAACCTTGAATTCACCCAGTTCCCCCTGCCTTTGTCCTAGCAAGTGCTGGAATTAAAGGCGTGCACTACCAGGCCCTGTTTCAAATACTTGTTTTTAACATCTTTTATCAAAATGCAGCTGCTGTGTGGAATATGGAGTTATTTCCCGGTCCTCTATCCTGTTCCATTGTCTTCAATCCCATGTCCTTCTGTTACTGTGGGGTTTTTTTCTTTTTTTCTTTTTTTTTTTTTTTTTTTGTTTTGTTTTTCGAGACAGGGTTTCTGTGTGGCTTTGGAGGCTGTCCTGGAACTTGCTCTGTAGACCAGGCTGGTCTCGAACTCAGAGATCCGCCTGCCTCTGCTGTTCTCTGTTCTTTCTCTTTGGGATTGCTGAGGCTATTTGAGGCCTTTTGTGCTCCTTATCAATTTTAGGGTTGTTTTGATAGTTTTATGAAGGATGTTGTTAGAATTCTGATGTGGATTGACTTGAACGTGCAGATCACTTTTAGTGACAGATTCTAACAATTTATTGACATGGGAGATCTTTCATCTTCTAGTATCTTCAACTTCTTTCTTCAAGGTTTTAAAATTCTTTTTTGGGAGGGGGGGGGATGTCGAGACAAGGTTTCTTTGTGGCCTGGAACTAGCTCTTGTAAACCAGGCTAGTCTGGAACTCACAGAGATCAGTCTGGAGTACTGGGATTAAAGGTATGCGCCCTTACCACCCGGCCAGTTTTAAAGTTCTTACTGAAGAAGTCTTTCACATCCTCTGTTCCCTTTATTCCTAGGTGATTTTTTTTTTTTTGGTTTTTCGAGGCACGGTTTCTCTGTATTGTTTTGGAGGCTGTCCTGGAACTCGCTTGGTAGACCAGGCTGGTCTCGAACTCACTGAGATCTACCTGCCTCTGCCTCCCGATTGCTGGGATTAAAGGCGTGCACCACCACCGCCCAGCCCTAGGTGTTTTTAAAAGCCATTGTGAATAGGACTTTTTCCCCCTAATATCTTAGTGGCAAGTTCATCACTATCTTTTAGGAAAGTATTTGATGTCAAAATATGACTTAGAGAAATTCTTCTGATTGTTTCCAAATGTCAACCAACAAAAACCAACCCGTACCTACTGATGTAATCCTGTAACTTTTGTCTGTAAAACCTAGCAGTAGACAGGGAACTTCACTCCCTCTGGGGGCTGCTGTGACAGCTTGCCAGACAGGGTCCCTGTCATGGATAGATGAACAATCATTAAACCTTGCTTTTGCAGTTTAGTGGGTCTGTCTTCCTGGAGGTCTCTGGGGACTTTGCAACTTGGGCACAACAGGTCACCCTCGCCTGCATTGGAATCTGCCAAGGTTCCCCTCTCACTTTATCAAAACAGCGTTTTAACTGTCCTGGAACTCTCTCTGTAGACTAGGCTGGCCTCTAACTCACAGAGATCTGCCTGCCTCTGCCTCCCAAGTACTGGGATTAAAGACATGTGCCACCACTGCTTGGCT